TTGTTAGGTGTCCTGTTCCTGATGTGTTAGAAATCAGATTTCGCATGCCTTTCTTTCCTTTTGCAAGTTGTTCTTAAGATTTTAATGTGTCTTTATATTTAACCTGACAGAGAGTATGTTCTTTTCTTATTTCTCCATTTGGACGTGACTTTAGTGCTTTGAATGATGTTGTCTTTCTTACAACACTGCTCTTTCACCAAGCTGCTTAACCATGACAAGATTGCCTGGTCCTCTCAAAGTCGTCTTGTTTTTGGTTTTGGTTTTTTTGGGGTTTTTTTTGTTTGTTTTTTTTTGTTTTTTTTTTAAATGGATGTATAGTTCTGAATTTCCAATAGGGTATCTCTTTAAATAGTCTCTGTAGTAATTGAAAACTTCTAACCTTTTCAGTTAACACTTCTAGTTTATGCATTGGTGTTATAATATTCTGCTATTTTGTGTCGTTTGTGTCTCCAAGTTTCTGATAGGCTATTATATCAAATCTTGCTAAAGCCCCAACTTACTAGTTCTTGGGGTTTTTTTGTTTTTTGCTTAAGTGGTAATGTTTGTTCAGAAGCATATCTGTGTTTGGCTTAGCCACACATGCACGCACGCCTAATATTTCTGTGCCCTGTTCAAACAATCTGTTTTTCAGATTACATTTTAGCATTTCTTACTTGAATTTTGTCCACTGCTCCTATCCAAAGATTTTCCTTGATGGTACAAAATCTGCATTGCTTTACCTAAAGGATATATCAGTTTAAACCGTCTGATTCATTAAGCCATAGTTATCAGTATGAATATATATATCATCTGTCTGTCTTATGTTATTATGTTTGTTTATTTTTGTATACTACTAATGCCTTTTTTGAAAATGTGTGTGACCATATGAAATTAGTATACACTGTATGTTAATGTTGTATTAACCTTACCATTACTGTTTGCTGTTTATTATTTAACTGTTTATTTTTTATAATGCAGCATGTCTACCTGCAAGTTTTATCTGGTAGAATATAATAAACTGGTTTGTGTGCATGTGTTTCCGGGAATAATCTCCTCTATAGCAATTGCACAAGGAAACAGACATTTCATAATTGGTATAACTGGCTACTATAAATGTTTTGGTCCCAGAAAAAGATTTGTTGATTTGTTGGGTAAGGGTGATGAATCAAATTCATTCAGTTTTCAAGTTCAGCTTTCATTTGTCTTGAGTCCAGTCATCTTCCAATGTTGCGCTAGCAAATTTATACAAAGCAGAATATTTTGATAAGCTATTCATGTAAGTCTGTTTTATACAGAAAATGTAGCAGTGCTTCACATAATAGTGTTTGTCCTGTTGTGTGTAGAATTCTACACTCTAATAAATTGTTGTTTCAGAAGTACTTGAATTATTGAGCCTGTGGGCTAAACTTTATGATCTTATAAACAAAAACCCATTGTAGATAAACCACATCTGCTTTTTGCATTGGCGTATTAAACCTTGTAGTTGTTAAGCATTAATCCATGCAAAGTTGGAGTTTGGTGTGTCATAGCCCTGCATCCCACCCCAAACCTCTGGGTAATAACTCCAAGAAAGGAGTTGTTAGTGTCACAGCTAAACCATTTCATCCTGAAGTCTTTGATTAGGCTTTTAGCTCTTTCAAGCAAGTCTAAGGAGCAATGTTCCTAAATAGGACTATAGAAATTTTACTTGGAGTTCATATTTTGCTTAGTAGAATAGAGTAAAATACAGTTGTAGTTATTTCAAACAATCTCTGGTGTTGACATTAGGTGACTTCCTGGCTATTTACTGTTGTCTGTCCGTCATTGTCCCCATCCCCCTGTGTCCCCCCCCAGTTTCAGTGTTATGTACATGTTCAGTATTTTGCCAACAGAATTAAACTTACCCAACTTATTCTTTTGGGCATGAGTGGGAAACAAGAATGCACAAATAAGAATTTGAAGTAAACGATTTATGGATAAAATTGCAAATTCTTCTACTCATAATCAAAACCAAGTATTATTTTACATTTTCCTTTATTTTTGCAAAGAACTAGCAACAGGAACATTGGGGAATTTTTTTATGCCTCATAAAATAAGACTTTCAGGGAAATGCATGCATCAAAGCATGACGCTAGTCCTTGCAGAGAAATTAACTTGTGTATTATAAAGTGTGTATCTCTAAAATTAATTTATATCCAGTGATGATGCCCACATTTCACACTGCGTTCTTTCAGTTTCTTTTCTCTAGAACATTTTACTATGAGACTGGAGTGCTTTAATTTATCTACATAATGCTTTTATGATTTACTGCCAATGTTGTTGTTATGCAGTCATCAGCTTTTATCATCTTAGAGGCAATAGACTATGATGTCTCTGTTGAAATATCCAATGCTGCAAATATTTCTAATAAATTTTTAACAAGACGCTATTCTTCTATGTCTTGCCTCTCAAATCTGGCACATTATTTTTTGTTATTTGGCTAG